GGCCATTTACAAACTAGTCAGCAGGGACCAGCAGGCATTGGAGGAGTCCCTGTTCCCCTGAGCACTCCCAGGAGTGACTAGAAATAACGGTCACAAGCTGACAGAGGGTAGATTCAGATTAAACATCAGGAGGCGCTACTTCACTGTCAGAGCAGCTAGGATCTGGAACCAACTTCCAAGAGAAGTGGTGCTGGCTCCTACCCTGGGGGTCTTTAAAAGGAGGCTGGATGAACACCTGGCTGGGGTCATTTGACCCCAGTACTCTTTCCTGCCACAGCAGGGGGTAGAACTTCGTATGTCATGTTTTTAAGGCAGCTGATAATTTTTCTACCTTTGAACGTTTTTTCAGTTTGTACACATCTCTCCTAAAGAGTGCTGCCCCAAACTGGACACAGTACTTCAGGTGAGGCCTTACCAGTGCTGAATAAAATGTAAAAATCACTTTCCATGATCTGCATGTGACATTCCTGGTTAATACATCTCAGTATGCTATTGGCTTTAAAAGAAACAAACAAACAAACAAACAATACTACTCTGTTGACTCAACTTGCAGCCCATGATAACCTCCCCAGGTCCTTCTCTACAGTATTGTAATTTAGCCAGTTCTTCCATATTTTTAGACTGAGCAGGATTCAACTTTTATGAGTAAATACTGATAAACATCTATTTCACCTCACAATCACAAGCCAATGAAAAAATATTTCCATCTTTAATAATTAAAATTTATAGAAAAGGAACTTAAGAAAAATGCGGTATATGACAGCAGGAGGAGTAGTCCTACAGAACCATGTGACTGTAGTTTGGACTGCAGCTCCCAGAAACCCCAGGGGATTGGGAACAAAGGAAGAGGAAGTTTCAAAGCAGAAAAGGGAACTACAGGCAAGCAGAGCTGGAACTGATGGCATCTTTGCTGCTCAGCTGGTGGCGGTCCAGTAGTATTTACATTTGTCATTAATAAATTGTCTGTCCCCCACACCCTTAATTTTGCATAATCCTGAACATTTAAATCAATAATAATCAAAATAAACATGAATACTATCCATCCAAATTATTAAAAAATAAAAATCAAATTCTGCCAAGTCTATTTTATATTTGTGAATTTGGTTGGTCTGTACTTTGCATTTTTCCTTATTGAATTTCTTCTGATGTATGTCAAACTATTTCTTTAATTTATTAAGGTCATTTTGAATCCTTTTGATTTTGAATTCTGTCCTCCAAAATGTCTCCAAGTTCATCCAATTTGGTGTCGTCACAAACCTGTTAAATGGGCTGCCTACATTTATAGCTGTCTTCCACAAAAGGTAAAAAAGAGAGCATATCTGAGGGTTCTTCTAGTACCAGAATTCTTTCTGCTGTCCCTGAAGAGCAAGAAGCATAACCAGGAGGCCAAGGGACCGTAAAGTTGATTATTTAAGGTAGAGTTATGTAAATGGCAGTCCCAGAAGAGTTAACCCAAAGTACCTGGGCTTCCAGTCTTCAGTTGCTACTTCCTTCCCCCTCAGACTCTTGCTGCTGCTGTCAGAGCAGGGTTGCCAAATGTACATAAATGTACAGGTAGCCCATAAAAAATAGAGCAAAAAACACCTTTCCATAATGTCTATGAAAAAAATTAGAGCCACGTGTAAAAATGTTAAACAACAATGTGCTTGATAGATGGAGCACAAAAGTACTACCTGGCATCTGAATGGGAGTGTGGCATGCTGCAGGGAGCTCTCTTTCAGGGCTTTGTGGCCTGCATAGCTCCCCCTGGGCCAGCTGTGTACTGCAGCTGCATCTTTTTGTTTATCCCATGTTTCTAACAGATGCTTGCTGGAGTGGTTTCATTGGGACAGAGCTACAGGCACAAGAAGGGGAGAGGCAGTGCATGGAGGTCCATGCCACTGTACTAAGATGCAGGGAGGAGAACCAGCAGGGGTAAGGCTGAGGAGTCAGCTGGCTGGAAGTAGCACCATGCAGGATGTGTTTGAGGAGATCAGGGTGTGGGGATGAGTAGGGAACCCCTTGTGGGAGGCAGTACAGTGTAAAACCATTGCTGCACTCAAGCAGTCACCAACTTTGTTGTTATGGTTGGTGTTAAATCCTTAAATTTGAATCCTATCCCTTGCAAATATCATCCAGGGCCTGGCAAAGGGGTTACATTTAAATGATGTAAATTATATATCAATGAAAAAAAGTTTCATTGTCAGTAAAAAGTTTGCAGATTGTCAGTTAAAAAAAAACATTCTTGGGTTGGTAACCCTGTACCAGGGTCTTCAGGCTCCCCCTCTCTCTTCCAGGTTCCACTGCTTGTGTCTGCCCCTAGGAATGAGGAGAAGTGATATGGCCCACAGGGCTAAGGAAGCTTTGGGGAAACCTGTGAACTATGGGTACAAAAAAGATTATTAAGATGCAAAGAAATGTGTGGTCTGAATAAAATAGCACTAGGAATTTTTTAAATGACAATTCTGTATATTTTTTAAGAGAAGCTTAGTATGAAATACTAAAAAGAACAGAAACTAGGGATATGAGGAATCTAAATAAGATATAAATTAAGATAAGCTACTTGATTGAAGAGCTACGTCATTTTTGCAAAAGTCAGATGTATATGAAAACTAAGTGTCTTTTTTCATTGCTCCTTGTCACCTCCTATTTATTAAATGCACAAAACAGAGCAAGTACTGCTTGCAGAGAGTCCAGTTGCAGGCAATAGCAGTTGAAAGCAGCCCTGTTAAATGGGCTTCAGAGCTCGGCCTACAGACTATTAGCAGCAGAATGCCAGGCTGCTGTGAGGGGAGTTGGCAGCACCTGTTAACTATAAGCCAGGTCAGATAACAGGCAGCGGAGGGCCTGGCCTACATATAGACTTGCCCTGGCTATGAAGAACAGGATTCTTCTGCTACATAGAAGGAAATTGAGTCCACGAGGATAAGAGGCTCTTATGCCCACTGAGAGTGAACACCCAAAGGAGTGAAGATTTGGTTGAGAACTGTTTGTATTTACTCACTGGGGCTGAGATTTTTAAAAACACACCACTTCAATTTTGGGCCCCTGTTTCATCTATACATCCCCTTTAACCCCCTGACTAGGGACAGATATTCAAAAAGCCTGAGCCTGAATTGATTCAATCTTTTTAGATTAGTCTAACCTGGTTAGGCTGAATCAGTTTGTAACCGTACAGACATCTCCTCTGGAATGAAGAAATGCAGGCACGTGCCTGCAGCGGCTCAGGCTAGAAGCCAGGGGGCACTAGAGCAGCCCTCCCTTCCCTTCTATAGTGCTGAACTGAGGGGGTGTGTGGCCAGGCGGGGGAAGTATGCTCTGATTAGGGAGGGGTTCCTCCCCACCCTTGCTGCTCCTAACCAGTGATGGAGCCAGCAGAGAGTTACACAGCATTACTTACACAGCAGAGAGTTATTCAAGGAGAAGCACAGAGTTTATTAGCCCATCAAGAAAACAAAAGCCTTTCTTGTAAGTTTAAGCTCTTCTTTTAGCTCCAAAAAGCCCTAAGCAGACACTTTCATATCTGTCTTTGTCCTGTCTGCGTTACACAGGCAACTCTCACCTCATGCTGGCTATGGTTCATGCTGTGAGAGGGAAGGGGGGGATCCCTGCTTGAAAGGGGGGGCCAGGCAGACCCTGCTGTGCCTGCAGTCTCTGCCAGAGCTCCAGCCAGGGAGCACAGGGGCAGGGCCAGCTCTGCTGTGGAACAGAGAGCCCCACCCAGGGCTGCAAAGCATCTGGGATGCTGGGGGATTCTGGTTTAAATTAAACCAGGAAGAGGGCTGGGACAGACATTGCATAAACCAGTTTGACCCAAATCAGTTAAATCTGATGCTACATTCAACCAGATTCATCTGAAACCAGTTTCAGCCATTTTCAAATGGGTTTATGTGCACTGAACATCTGTTCTGTTACAGGTTTAAACCAGTTTCTGATCACTTAAACCGGTTTATGTGTAATGTCTGTCCCTAGCCCCTTACCTAAGAGGTTGCTTAAGAGTCATATAAGAGATTCCCTTGTTTAGTGGTTGAGTGTACTGTTTCAAGCACTGAGTTCCACATAGTAGTGCTTTTGCTGATGCATAATTTTATACTTTTAAACTTCATATTTTTACTTTATATACTTTTAAAGATCAGTTTCTTCAATATTGATTTTTGCAGATTTTCATGAACTGTATTTTACTCCAGTATATAGAAAATAATGTTAACTTATTTATATTCTTGCCACAATCCATTTTTCAATTATGTTTTTATTTGGGAGCTTATCCTTTCCCCTGACTTCTATTTCTTCAAGAGAGCTTAACTGTGTTTATGTGGATGAATGGTGACTGTTATGTTTATTACAAGACCCTATACCAACATGTAAGAGATCTGATGTTACTCAAAAGGCTATCCATCTTGCATGTAGATAGTATCCCACTATTTTGACTGAGTTGTTTTCTTTTTCATTTTAAGAATACTATGAAGATGTGTACATTAACCAGCTTAATTTGGCCTATTGTTTCAACAACCCTGAAGACAAATGGTTAAGGAATTATTTCTATGAACAATGTTTTAACACTGCTCAACTGATCAAAATTGACGGGGGGAAAAAAGAGGCTGAGGCACATGCAAATATGGGCCTTATCAATGAGGAACAAGGTAAGTAACTGACAGTTTATATCATTATATCAAAATGTTAGGGTATTCATTTTTTCAGACAGCCATGTTTGGTTGGCTTGTATTTGATTCCTGTGTACAGTACTTGTACTGTAGTACATGATCTGAAGATAAAGTATCAAAGTTTTTGCAGTTGTCATAATTTAAATGTTTAGATACACAAACCTAGATGTAGAAAAGTATTTAATTAGACATTGAGGGGTTTTTTTTCCAGCAATGACACTTGTTTTCAGCTTCAGCAAATACATTTAAATTAGACACGAACAAAGGAAGCATTCCCTTATACACAAATATAGTTGTGCTTTCCAGATATTACTGCGTTTTTTTTTACTTACAGATTATTTAAAAGTTTACAGGCTAATGTCTTAACCTGTAAACCTATGAGATCAAAAAAATATCCCAACAGAAAAAACCCTTTTAAAAATTGTATTTTCATGACACAAAGGATTGAGTGAGTATACCAGTGACTGTGTCTGAAGGTTTCTATCAACAATCCTGCTTGATACAAGAAAAAACAATGGGTGAAATATTTGTTGTGAATTTATTAAAATTTAGACTCTTTCTAATGGCTAGAGGTACCCAAACATTTTGATTTCTTCAAATATATTATTTGTTTACTAATGAATATCTTTCTTAATTTTTACTTTATGAAATGCTAACAAACGTTCAGATTTGGAGCAGTACTGTTTTGACATAATTGATCATGTAAAAAAAAATTTTATATGTCTTGTTTTCAGCTTGCATGAACCAGTAAGGACTTTTAGCATGAATTCTCATGTGTGTAATTTCCAAGAATACTTGGCTATGTAGCTGTCTTGAAATTTGCTTCCCATTAATATTTTTGCCCTCAAAATGTGATCACTTAGATGTTAGCAGAAATAAATATGCAAAAGGCATAGCATAGACAGAAGGTGATAGGGTTAAACATTCCGAGAAATATTCAAAGAAAGCATTTGAAATATCTGTGTAAATGTTTGAGGAATATTAGCATCATGTAATTAAGGGTTTTCAAATGCTGGTGAACAAGAATGCAGTCATGATAAGATTTAACATGGCAGTGATTTTGCTATCACACCTGATTTGAATCATACATTTGCAGCATTCCTTTTAAAAAAGTGTTTTTTCCTATGGAATTTCCAAGGTTTTTAAAGTGGTTTTGTACAGAATGGAAACTCTGTACAGCAAGTCTTACTGTCTAATCCTGCCCTTTGCCTTCAAGACTGACAACACCAGCATAAGCAATGTGTATCTCTGAAAGCATTGTACAGTACAGTGAGAAGGCTTAAAAATTGCAGGAAGAGTTTTTAAACATTGCAAGGTTAAGGAAAAAGTGGGGACGTTGGAAGAGAGTCAATTAAGAGGGCTTTGGGGGACCTTGGTAGTGAGGTATTTGGTCCCTCAGACCGCCACATGGTGTATATTTTGTACATTAGAATCCCATTATTCTTAATAGTGCCAGCAATAAAGCTGGTGGGAAATTCTCTGATGGAATGGCATGTTTTGAAACATGTCTGATTTCATGCCAGCTGGCTTACCAAGCTCCTCAGCAGCCTACCTGGCAGGCTGCTGGGAAACCCAGTCTTCCAGATTCAGGGCTTTTTGGAATCCTGCCTGGGGGGCTTATTGGGAACAGAAACCCTGGAAGTGCCAAATCCCCAACTTTAAGGCACCCAGCTCCAGGGAGCCTCAGAAATTGGGAGCCAAAAGATTCTCAGGGTTTCCAAACTCCTGGCTTCCTGTTATGGAAGGTTTCTTCTTACAATTTATCATAAATAAATCATTTTAGTTTTTCCAAATGATTTTTTAATTCTGTTTTGCAAAGAATGTTTTTAATTTGGGGATTTTGTTCCACATTGGAACAAACCAAATATTACTATTCCCAAAGCCTCTGAATCGTTATTTTTTGCATAGCCGGATACAGCTGGCCTTAGGGGGTGGAATCGATGGTTAGCAGGGTGCTATGTACTTATGCACACACACACACGCGCATGCACAGTCCAGTGCTCCCCAGGTGTGATTTCAGCAATACCTGCAGCTGTGCAGGTAGCACGGGGTGTGAGCCTACAGTCAAGTTGCTTTTGACCTGGAGTAGGGGGGAAGGGTCTACCCCACTATAGTGCCCCTCCTGTATTGTGCCAGCTCACTCCCACCCTGCCCCACCCACTGGTGTCACTAGAGTGAGTGCCACATGGAACTGGGGTTGGGGGGCGCAGGAACCCGGAGCACCCAGGACTCTCCCAGCATGAATCATTCCACAGCAATGCTCTCCTGGGCATGTCCCCACATGCTGTCTCCCTCTACCCTCTGGCCCCTGAGGGGAAGGGGACTTGGCTTCCCACAATGCCACCACCTCCATGCTGCACACAACGCCAGTTCTTTCCCACTGCCTGCAAAGCTCTGCAGCCACAGGGGTGCCATTGAAGCCAACATCCAGCTGGGCAGGGCTGAGGAGGCAGAGGCATGAAAGTTTTAGCTTATGGTGGGCACTGCCTGCCTGTCCCTCTGGGTGCAGCCAAGCTGCGGAGGCAGAGCCAGGTACACACAGATGCAGAGTAAGACTCAGATCCCCAAGGAGCTGCTGCGTGTTGTGGCATGGGCCAGTGCTGTGCAGGTGCCTGTCCTGTGCGTGCTGCCAAGCTGCCCAGGTGGCCCTCAGAGATTCCCTTCACCAGTGAGTGCATCAGGTGTGGCTGCTGGGGAAGTGTACCTCACCTGCCACCTTCAGCTCCAGGGTTAGGGGGGAAGTCCCCACATGAGTCCAGGAATTACATCAAGAAGCATGGCAGGTGTCCTGCAGAGGGGCGCAGAGACCCCCATGCCAGACAGGAGGGTACTGGGAGGGAGTATCAAAATACAAGTTCACCCAGGGCACCATTTTCCCTAGGTCTGGCTCTCAACAACCACATGAACATTATGCTGATGTTCAGATGGTTTGCCACAGTAGCAAGATCCAGATTCAGTGGTGTATGCAGAATTCAGTTGCCATCTGGATAATATTTGCTCAAACCAAAGCCAGTTATGGGCAAATCCTTCATTCTGAGTTAAAAGGCACTTAATTAGGTCAACTGTTCCTTTACAGAACTATTCCTTTACATCTGTTTTAAATTGATGGCTTTCTTAAATCTCTTCCTACGGTCTCTTAGATACTAGAATATGTAGTTGTGTTAAGAAATAACATAAAGAAAAGTTATTTCTAATTATTTATAGCTTCAAAGGTTGTCACTGAACATGACTCATTGCTCTGATCCCCCGATTACCTAAATTCCCTTTAATAATTCTTTCCTTATGATTTGTTAAGTAAAAGTACTTAAATACTATTTAAATATTTCAATTTTTAAGTTTATAGTGCAATTACAAAAAAACACTGAAATGCAATACTGCATTGAGTTGAGGTAGAACTACTGCTATTTCCTAGAAACACTTCCCAGTCCCTAGAACTCCACTGACAGAGGGTATGTACACATGTATTAACTTTTTGCCAATTAAGATGATTTAGTCAACTTAACAGAGCATACACACATATGCAGAGTCAATTTAAATACAGCACAAGATAATACACCTCTGAGGTGTGCTATCTTGAGTCGCATTAGTTAAGCCACCTTAGCTCACAAGATGGCTACTACTATGTCAAGGAGCTCTATGTATGTTTGCTCCAATGTGGCTTAATTTAAGTCTACTTAGGTAAGTCAATTTAGGTAAGTTGACTTATTTTAAGTCAGCTTAGTACAAGTGTATATACCTCTTGGTAAGGCCTACCTTTTACAGTTAAATATATGTAGATAGTTGCATTAGCTTTGAGGGAGCACTTGGAAAGGGGGGGGACATGTAAAATCTTTTTATTTATGAAGGATAAAAGTTAAATCACAAGTTTGACCTAAAAAAAGAGTTAAGGGTAAGAGCAGAGTATTTCATGTGATTACCTCAGGTTTAGTCATGTGGAATAGTAGTTACACAGGGAAAATTAAAAAATATAAAATAGGTATGGTCTGAAAATTAAAATGTTTCCATTCTTTTCCCATTGTTTTCATCATGATGTTTCCTATTGGAATTCAATTTTGTATAAAGTTATATGGAGCTAGGTTACGCTTTAGACATATACAGGCAGTCCTCAACTTACAACGTTTCAAGTTACAACGTTTCACACTTCCAACGTTTATAAATTGACACCCTGTTTCAACTTTCTGACATCAGTTTTGACTTTAAAATGCTTGATCCCACACCACACCACACCAGTGAACAAGTTTGCTGTATCGTTCATCTCCCTGGAGAACATCTGTCCAAACTTCCTTGGACACTTTCTTTAAGAAAGCAGACAAGACTCCAAAAAAACCTGCAGCTAAGATTCCTGCGAAAACTCCAGCCAAGAACCCTTTAAAAAGTCCAACCAAGAGCCCTTCAAAAAGTCCAGCAAAGTCACCTCGAAGAAGTCTTTCCAAATCAATATGATTGCTGTTTACAATAAAATATATTAATGTAGCTATATTACTCATCTATAATTGATTGAGTACAAAATTCTGGGGTATTTTTGGTGAAAATAGGGTATTGGGCCTTGGTTCAAAAACCAATCTCCCATTTATAACATTATTTCCTATGGGAAAATCAGTTCCACATTACAACATTGCAACTTAAGACTCAGTTTTCAGGAACCAATTGTGTTGCAAGTTCGAGGACTGTGTGGATAGTGTTTAGCATATTTTGGACAAGTTAGAGCACATTTTCTGGCAGTCTTAATCAGCAAATCTACATTTAATCATTAACAGCTAAAAATGTTTCTATAATATTGCATGCTTGAAGCCAGTGATAGAAAAACAGAAAATCACATACATTTTAAATTTGATTTTGTGGGACGTTATTTTGGCTGAGGAAATCTTGTAACAATTCTGTGCAGATGTGCCACCAAACAGATTGTAGATTTTTAAAAATAATTTGGACACTTCCAAGCCGGACTTAATATGAAATGACTACTTAGGAGTGTAAAGAGA